AGTCGACACAAAAAGAGTTCGTCCAGTAGCCCTACTTCAGCTTGTCATCGTAAGGCCTGGCATGCAGATCGAGCAGCGGACTGGTCTTGCGCGCACCTTGGAATTCCTTGCCATCGATGACTGCTGTCTTTCCGCAACACGTTTGCAACACTCCAGTACTGCGTTTGAGTTGTGATCACCCATCAACTGCGGATTCATGTTTCACCTACGTCTATCTGGTGACACATAGGCAACTGCGACAGGCTTCGCTGGTATTGGTGTAGCGTTAAGCAAAATGCCGAAATCAAACTGCTGGACTGGTATGCTATTAATAGCCGACCGTGTGCAGTTCGGCTTCGGGATCATACAGAATCAACAGATATCAGGAGGAGAGACGCAAGTAGTTTGTGGTCTCGGTTTACGCTTCCATTGACGGCAGTGCCGACTCGGTCAAGGACGATTTCTACCGTGAAATTTACCAGCTCTTGGACAGAACTTGCAAATCCGATATTGTTGTCCTTGCAGGGGATCACAACGCACGCGTCAGTCGTCTATTGTCATAGGTAGCCCTCGCAAGCGAACCCTGCAGAGGCTGCGAACTGTTTTCATTCGAGTACAACGGAGAAGTTTTGTAGAAAATGCCTTAAATTTCAAGCGATATTCGCTGGCACGTTCAATAACTTATCTTTGATTTGCCGATAAAATTTGAGGAAATTTCTGCAGAAGTTCTCCGTCGTACTCGTATGAAAGCACTTCGCAATCTACAGGATTCGCTTGCAGGGGCTACATATGCTTCTTTCCCTACTGATTGCCCGAAGCACGTATATGATCTAACGTCTATTGTCATGCGAGTCACCTCGGTGGTCACCATGTGGTAGATGAGAGCAGCTCGGATAATGGAGAGAGACTTCTCACATTGTGCAAAGATAATCGGGTATTTCTGTCTAACACGAGCTCTCGACATTCGAGGAGACGTTCCACTACTAGGCGAACTCCATCTGCGTCTAATCTTGGTCTCAGACTGATCATATCGTAATCAGTGTCAGATGGCGCGGTAGTGTAAAAGATTGTAAACCAATCTGGTTCGCCTTTCTTGACTCAGACCATGATCTTGTTTGTGCGAATATCTGCATGAGTTTAGGAGGGTCCCCAAAAAACGAATCGCTGTAAGATGGACACAATAAACTATCTAATCTCTCGGTCCAACAGAGCTATCAAGCTTCCCTGGCCGATGTACTCAGTTGTAACCCTCCGCGAGACATTGATGAACACTGGACGTTCATGCAGAGCACCATGTTCTCTTCCGAGCAGTTAGTCTGTGGTTTTACTCAGCATCCTACGAAAGCCTAGATCTCCCCGCACTTCTTGGACCTATTTGATCGCCGCAGGAATAGTCCAGCAGAGTCCAACCATAATGAAGTGCGCCGTTCTGTCAGTCGGTAGCTCAAACGAAACCTGCGCAGTGATCGTTAAAATGGTGGTCTCGGCGCGCTTCGGAAATGGAGGCCGCTATCCTGTTTGGCAATACTCACAAGCTCTTTCAGCTCATTCGATTCACCGGCCACAAAAACCTAGTGTCAATGAGACTATTTGCGAAGCGGGTGGTTCACCGATTGTCAACCTACAGAGACGCTTGGATCGATGGGCTGAACATTTTCATTCCCCGTTCAATTGACCCTCACCGTCCTCTTGTATGCCTTGGGAACCAAGCCGCTCGCCCTTGGTCATCACACTTGATCCGCCCAGTGAAGCGAAAATTTGTCTTGCCATTCGACACCTGGGACGATTCAAGGCTGCCGGATCAGAAGTTTCTTCGGAGCTGTTCAATAATGAAGGTGCAGTTATTATCAGCCAGTTAACCTCATTGTTCTCCAAAAGCTGGATTGAAGGAAAGGTGCTTTTTCCTGGAACAAAACAATCGTTATCTTGATTTTTAAGAGGGGTGCTCGCAACTCATGCACCAATCACCGAGGGATTAGTTCCATCTCAGTTGCTTCAAAACTTTAGCATCCATTCTACTCCGTAGACTTTCCTCCTTTCGTGAATCGCAGTACCGGGAAGAACAAGCTGGCTTGCGTCCTGGTCATGGGTGTGTGGACCAAATATTCACGCTCCGCCAAATCCTCGACCACCGCCACCTCTACCAAAGGCCTACCATCGTTGAATTCTTATACATCGGTGTTTCATTCGATTCGGTTGATCGACCAGCGTTGTGGTGTTGCTTGCTGAGGAATGGTGTCCCAGAAAAGTACAATGCCATCCTACGCGCACCCGGCCTCCACATCTCCGGCATAGTGATGGTCTGGCAAGCATTCCTCGTCATTCGCTATCAATAGCGGTGTGCAACAGGACTGTTCTATGTCCCCTTTTCTCTTAAATGTTGCGATTGAAGACGTCCTGTCGAGAGCTTTTGGACTGAATGCTACCGGGCAAGCGAGCGACTGATGTAGAGTATGCCTATGACATCGCCTTACTTGGTGATAACTCACAGAGCATGTAAATAATTCTAAACCGTTTGGCAATTGAGGCGTGTCTGCGTCCCCACTCGAAGTGTAAGATGTTGCTCCAGGATTGTGACTCCCTCGTTCCCGTGCTCATTATTGAAGGTACAAAGATTAAACAAGTAAATAGCTTTGTTTACCAGGGCAGTTGCGTGTCTGTTGGTGGCTCTATTGAGAAGAAGATTTCGCTCCGCATCGCCAAAGCTCGGTCAGCGTTCGTCAAGCGGAAGTACTTGTGGCATCGTCGGGATGTTGCGTGTACAGTGCCACAGTTAGGGAGGGGTTGATATGGAAGTGAGAAGTCGCCATTTCACATGGATGACATGCCCCAGCTCTCGGCCTTCGATAATGGGTGCTTGAGGAGGATTGCTCGTGTGTGGCGGCAGAAACGTTTTTCAATGGTGAAGTCCGACGTCATGTCTTAGGGGATGCATGCCTCTCAACAAACTGGTTTTGCCGCATCAGTAAAAATGACTCGGTCACGTTTTACGTACCTCAGCTGAGCGGGTGCTTTATTGCGCTCTTTTCGCTGGTGCAGGACTTGGCTGGAAGAGACCGCGTGGTGTTCAGCCGTCAACTTGGCGTCAGCAAATGAAATCGTTGAGTTCACGTCCTGCTGCCGTTGGATCCGTATGCCTGCCTGGTCGGGGACCAAAGAAGGAAAAGTGCCGATGGCTGGAAACAATGCAGGATATGGCGCCTAGTAGAAACCAGTGGAAGATTTGTGTACATACTTGTTTAGATTCAGGTGTCTAACGCTTAAGAATTGAAAACGACAAAAAATAAAAAGGGCGTGTGGAAAAATAACGAAAACAGTTCCGTTCTTCTTACGCCACAATAGCTGAAGTATGTTGCTTGCCTTCAGCTAATGCGTCATGAGGATGATGTGGTGATTAAACCTGTATTATTCTCATGATTTCCATGGTTTTGTTTGCCTCTATGTCTATTTGTTAGACTGTTGCCAGCCCAATATAATACAATACCTATGGCCCCTCCTGTGGGTTCATGTGCCCCGTGGTTGTTCACGGTCAGAGTGACAGGGAAACCCGAAAACCGATGCAATTTACCATGCATGTTCTTTACAGCATACCTTGTTAGGGCCACAGACGTGATTGCAAAGGACTGCGTGCAGCCTGTGGGCCACATGTCTAACATGACTGTAACAGTTATATATCAAGTTTTTAATCCCAGCTCTGCACTGCACGACCGGGTTTCCGGATGTTCGCGCTCTTGAGACAAAGATAGTTGAGATGGGAATCGAACCAATGATTGAGAAGTTGCCGGCTGACGCTTCACCCCTACACCACTGAGCTCCGCAAGCAACGACTAGCACAACGGTTAGTGGGCCGCCGCTGATTTTGTCTTCCTTATCGAACTCTGTTAAACTTGCAAACAATAGTTATTCTGTGCATGAGTCAACACCGGCAGAGGCAATCCCTAGCACCATGGGAAGCACGAAATGTTAGAAAATGATGAGTAGGGAAGGAAGAAATTTAACTCACCCAAAGGCCATCTGGACAAAGCGGTAAGTGCTGCTTCCGTCAGTCGGACAGCGTCCTCCTCCGGCATATCAAAAGAAAATGAACGAATCAGATTCATGTGCTCCACTTCAATGGAGGCCTCGTTCTCCTGCTTGTTGAATAGCTCCAATTTTGCTGCATGGTCGATAGCGGGGGCATAAGTAGCGAAGTGAAACGAGTAGGGGTTTAGGGAAAACATCGCGATTCAAACAATGAATAGCAAACTGGCCAGTCTCGTCGAGACGGTATGAAAGGAAGCGAACTCATAAGAAGTCCAGGCCAAAAAACTAGGTGCACGCGATTGGACAGCTACACACTAAGGTGGTGCATGGTAGTGCTCGTAAATAAAACAGTCAAGCACACCACATGAATCTGCTCGATGGATGATTGAAGGGTTGTGAGAGAATACAACCACTCGTAAAGTGAGCCTCATCACGATGACTCAAAAAGGTGACATCCCAGTAATGTTCCACTCCAAAAAAACAAAGTGTACGAGTTCTGACGCACAGTGAAGTCAGTACCATGCTACCCACACTGTCATCGGTAGAGAACTCCGGAAGTTACTAGTGAGTGCTTGGGCAACTAAGCTGTGTATCGATTCTTATGTGGCCACAAGGCTAGTCTAGAAGATAAAACAGATGTGGTATTAAATTCCAAAATGAGGCATGTGTCAGTGAGTCCAACGCGGAACCAGGACTCTTGCATCATTCAAGCCCAATTTCCGTGAAGTCCGTTGATTTCCTTGGTGGGCGACACGAAATTGAGGCCTATTGGCGCTGGAAATCATGTAGAACCCCGTTCGTCGCAGTCACTTTTATTTAGCGTTGCATGTTCCAAATAATGCCATATTGGTCAGACATAAATTGCAGTAAGTGACCTGATCTTCAAGCGCCAATCTCGTGGCCGAAGGTTTGTGAGTAGGATGGTGAACTCATATGCCGCAAGAATGCAACCCCTGTTTGATACCAGCGGTAGAACCGACTCAGAAGTTACTGTAGTATAAAGAGACTGTTCACGGAATCCGCACCGCAGAATCCCATACAGACTTGTGGTTGATGACTGTCAGTTGATCATATGTTTAGGTAACAATAGGAGCAATATTGAATATATGATTGGGATATAAAACAAATCCCTTCATCCAATACTTTCAAGCACAGTCGAAATCAGAAGCCGGTATGCTTGGAAAACAAACACATACTTGCTCTATAATACAGAATACAAAGGAAAGCAGCAAAATGTAGCAGATTATATGTACTGAAACCCTACTTGTATTTAGGGGTCAGATCCTGAGTCTTCACATTTTAGGGCGGCTGTATCAGTTACTGAAAACAGTAATGAACGAGGGGGAAGACGCGGTCTTGAAATGTGTCATTCAAATGCTTCACTCCCGAAAGAAAAACTATTCGATGAACGTTTACATGCCCTACGATATACACTAGCCGTGGAACGAGTCGTCCCACAATATCCGTTTGTAACACATACCTACCACAATGTGACAGCATGCAGAGTGGATAATCCACTCTGCGAGCCCACAACCTAAGAGTAGCAACTTCTGGAGGTCGGTGTTTGGTAGGTAACTTAGACAGCTGGTTCGTATTGCGAACACATTCAAGACTGCCAGCGAGTGGTCGAAAGTGCACTGGTCATGCTTAAAAGCTCATCAGAATGATTCGTACTCCAGAATGTGAAAGCATCTGATAATCGCGCGGTGGCCAGTGGTTAAGTGAGAAAAACTCCAGTAACACTAAACGTGGTAAACCTCCATATAGTGGAGCCACAAATAGGTCACAGTGACGAAATCACATAATTTGTAAGAGTACTATGCGTGGGTCAGCAATGCGCACAAGACGCAAGATCGCAAAAAGGAAACAAATACTGATTCGGCTTCGATAAAGTCGTTGGTGTAAGCAAAAGATAAAAAGTAGCAAGAATGACGAAAGCTTAGAATAAGAGATGATAAATCGCCAAAAACTTAAAATAGCAACAAGCCCAACTCACATAGCAATGGATCCAGTGCAATAGTCTTTAGACAGATGAACTCCTTCGAGGGAAAATAATCTTCGAACGCCAACTTGCCAACGGCAAACGTTGATCCGTTGGTGCCACCGGGAATGTACCGATCAGCTCCAGTGAACGGATCTGAGCAAGCAGCGGGGGCAGGATTAAATTGGGGGCCTGCATTTTTTATGATAAATTGCGCAACGGTGTCTAGATAATCTTGCGGTAAGTCATGTTCATGAATAAAACGCTGTGCCACAAGCCATGGGTCTTCCGTACGGTTGTAAGGAAGTTTCAGTGCTTGTCCATTATCTGACACGTCAACAGAGAAGACAAAATCATATTCCTGCGGAGTGAAGAAGAACCAAGAAGAGGATAAAGCGATCGAAGAGTGACGAAAGTAATGCAAAAATGAGTCATGGAAAGTCGAATGCGATTAAACCACCGCAATACAAAAGGTAACGCCTAACCGGCACATGAGTTAGAGTCCATTGTTCAGCACAATCTTAAACGTGAGACACATCACAGAATAGGAACCAATGTGTGCATTCGTGGTTCGAGATATGGATGAGGGTGGGGGTTGTTAGTTAAAAAGAGTACTTTGTTAACGATTAGGTAGCATGACCAGTGTAAATTACAGAAGACATCGGCAAACAAACCGCTTGACCCTGAGGAGAACTCAGTATCCATACATCAAAATATTCACAATATGAAGCGAAAGCCAAACGATTATCTCGAATCGACTGATCATACACAGGTACAGTGATCAGACGAGTGAATAAACAATCGTAATCATTGTATGCATCTGTATGTTTAAATGGAACACCAAAAAGGAAAAGTTGAACTAATCTCACCTTCCCATTATGAACAGGTAGCTTAGAATTACCTGCACCGACCACGTCACCCAGTTCAATCCACCTGAATTCATTGGCAGACCACTGGTAGCACACGGAACGGTCGCTATCGCGAATGACCAAAACCTGTCCCTCCTTTTTACCTGGAAGCAAAAAGTTGAAGCTGAAAGACATGAAGTGAGATGGAGGGAGGAGACAAACTTAAATGGCAAATACTGCTGCATAAAAAAACTGCGGGAGAGGAAATACAGGGTAGTACTACGTATCTCGCAGCGTAAGAAAGATGAGCGATCAAAGACATGATCATCAAGAGCATGGAAAGGCAGCGAAGTCGAGGAATGTGAAACTTCTGTCCTGCAGCAGTCTAATAATCTCGAAGATATGATCGGACGCCAAGCGATGTTAGTTACCGGATCATAATTGATCCGTCTAGAGACTGATGTGATACTTGATGCTTCCACGTTTTATGGGATTCGGATCGCGAGATATTTGATTGATTGACCGTAGGCTACGCACAGTTCGGTGAAGAAATTAACTGAAATACCGAGTACGAGGGGGCAACTGCACATAACAAGGCTTCCTCATGGCGAAAAGCCTCTGCAAAATGGTAAACAAGCAACCTAAGGAAGTGAAGTTTAAGCCTCAGGGTGGCATTTCACTAATTCAATTTTGTGCACAATGTTAAAAATTGTCTGATGCACGGAATTGGTAAAAACGTTGACATATACTTAGCAGTCCAAAATGCTGTCAAAGGATAGTCCAGACGTTCTTTCCTCCACGGCTATCATTGTACGATAGTTTGTCGACGTGCAAGGAAATCAGGTGCAATGATGCGCGAACAGAACTAGTGAGATGGTAGGGGTAAAAAGAAATTTGGTAGTTGCTCAGTCTTAAAATCAATTGGCAACCAGTTCCAGAAATGCATGTTTGACCGACTATCGCACTTTGTTGCAACAAGATAAAATTTTGTACGAGCGCTCTCAGACAAGAAAGGCGACAGAAGCAGAGGATAGACGTGCAGCTGACGCCATTACAATGGCAAGACCGGCCTAGTCGTTGGAAACAAGCGGCAGAGTAACGACTCACAGAAGCCAACCACGATGCCTGAACGTCAAAGAGAAAACCGGGTGTTGTTGGTCAGATTGAGGAAAACGCCAGTTCACTTGCACATACATCGGTGAGCTATGTTGATTATGTGGGCAACTAGTTGTGAGATCTCTGTAATCTGAGGCGCAGTGACACAAGCACAACTACGTGCAGAAATAGACAAGCGACAATAATAAAGACAGTGAGGGTTGGGTACTCGATCGACGGGTGGAGTGGCGGGCAGCAGGGATGCTGTCAACCCATCACGGTAGCTACTGAAAGATAAGGGAGCTTGGTGCCCAAAGAGAGGAGATTGGTGGCCCATACTGCATCAATTATGGATTCACTCACGCTCCAAGTACTGTGTGCCAAAATGGATAGGACGGGGTATGGGTTCCAAATGATGATGAATGTTGTTACTAACAATGTATTAGTAGTTCACCGCATTCATAATTATTTGGTTATCCGATCACAATCCAACAGCTATTGATCCCCTTAGATCCAAGGCTCACAAGCAACAACGAATTGACAAAATAGCGTTATCTTTTATTTATTGACCATCTGAGCTACCACAGATATGGTCAGTTTTACTGCAAAATGCTTGATTGAACGCATGTCCCGTAGTTGCTTGCCTGGAACTACTGCCGCCCGAACCCGCGAATCAGATCATCTAGTCATGAGACAAGCGGTTATTTGACGTTTATATGCTTTCAAAACAAGGTATCAGCACGATCTGTTCTACCCGCTGTCCCAAATTATCACCGCCCAGACTGTACGACACTTCAGAGACTCCACTAGCCTCTCCCCACTGAAACAAATAGATCATCGCAGAGTTAATGTGAAAAAGGCTCCATCTTAGAGCAAGCCGATTATCGTCCTGATCTTCAAGAGGGTGCTCGTACCTTACGCGCCAACCACAGAGGAGTCAGTCCAATGTCCGTCGCCTCCAAATTGTTATCGTCCACTCTACTCTGCAGAACAATCTATAATCAAAAGCTACACTTTGCGACAAACAGATTGGATTCCGACCCGGCCGAAGGTGTGTGGTTCACATGATTACGCTTCGCGAGCTCCTCAAACAGCATCACTTTGGCCTATTTAAACATCCGAGCTGCGTTCGACTCGGTCGGTGGGCCAGCCTCATGGCGCTGTCTGCAAAAGAATGATATACGCGAAAAGTATACCGTCATCACTCAAGCATTGGGTAGCAATGCCTCGGATAGAGTGCGGGTCCACGAAGAGCTCTCTTCACCTTGCTCCATCACTAGCGGCGTAAGAAAGAGATACCCCATGTCCCTGATTTTCTTCAATTTTTTGATTGATGATGTCGTGTTGTGAGCTCTGGAAGATCCCTAGAGTTCTAGCGTTCATGTTTTTGCCAGATAACCGTGCAAATGACCTTGACTCTACTGATGATATTGACTAGCTCGGTGAGGACCTCAGAGTACGCAGGCGTTCTAAGTTTCTTGATGATTGAAGTTACCAAATATGACATGACCTTTGCTCCCAAGAAATGCAAAGTCCTGCTCCAGTATTAGCATCTACCTGCCCAGTGCTGATTCTTGAAGGGGCGCAGCTTGAACAAGTGGATAGCTGCGCCTACCCGGGGAGCTGCGTTTCTGACGATGACAGAATTGGAAGGGGGATTGCTCTTAGTATTGCCAAAGCCCGATTAGTATTCGCTACTCAGAGGCAGCTGTGGCGTTGGTGTGGCATCGCACTCTCGATAAAGCGCAGGATCTAAAATACCTGGGTTGGAGTGAATCCTGGCCGATTCGTATGAATGACGTGGGTCGAATTTCGGTCTTTGAAAACGGTTGTCTGCGGAGGATAGCTCGTGTGAGGCCGGAATATCGTTTTCAACGACGATGCTAGATGTCGCATCTTAGGCAATACGGGACTCCATCTCCACAGGCTGGTACCGCTGCGCCAACTGAGATGGCTGGGCCACGTATTACACACGCCTTGCGAGCGACTACCAAGGCGCGTCTTATTCGCTCGCGCAGGAATGCAACGAAAGAAGTCATGCGGTGGTCAACCTAGCACATGATAACAACATGTCAAAGCACTGGCTTACAATTTATTTATCGTCGGTCCGCATGTCTTCTAGGCTGAGGAGCAAAGGATGAACACCGCTGGCTGGAAACACTTATGAAAATTGCGCGAAATCGAACACAATAAAAGGTTTGCACTGATTTTATTGATCAACACAGTAATCATTAAAGAGAAAAGGAGGGAAAATGGCGTGTAAAAACCCGCAAAATGTATTTATTCCTTCTCCCTATTGGTGATTTTTGCACTAATTACGTGCGTACATTCCATGGTTTTGATGGCTCAATATCTATTATATGGACACTTACTAGCATTCAGTTATTTATTTACATAATTATGATTCGTATCGAGTCAATGTCTGAAGGTCGATGTGAGCTGTATCAGCTTGGGTGGATTAACAGATGAGATCTCCGAAGTCAGAGTAGCTTTTGCCAACTGCCAACATCTCTGGTGTCGGCATGACCAGTATTTCGTCGAGAAGAAAAGCCTACAATACTGAGGTACGAGCAGTGCCTCTCTACGGCTGCCAGACCTAGTCTATTCGTGCCAGCGATGTTCAGAGAGTGTCCATTGTTGATTAACGCTGCATCCGGAGCATCGCTAATTTATGTTGACAACACCGCCTTAGTAATGATGAGGTTCGAGGTCGTTTTTTAAGTTAGGCAGGCTCAGTCGAGTGCTGAGTTGCATAATTTCCGTGCAAATGTTCTGATGCCTCGGGCACGTGTTTCGTATGTATACTCCGTGGTTACCCAGTAGCACCACTTTGCGTGTTGACTGGAGATGACAGAGAGGTAGTCAACACACGACTTGGGCACATGGCTGCTATAGATCATTCCCAAGTCCCGGGTTTGGGACCCAAGGACCGAGAGCACTCCAGGTTGGAAACGCTATTGGATATAGCAAAGAACCACACTTCATTGCGAACAGGTCGTGAGAAGTCCTTCCTCAGACTGTCACTTTCTCTCCGTTAACCTCTTTACCAATGTGTTATCGCACTTTGCCAATTGTGCATTGTTGAATATGTATGCCTGATGTATACGGCACGGAAGCCGAGTTGCAGTTTGGTATTGCAACCAAAACGGTGCACACCATTGCTAGCAACAGCAGCGAACGGTCTCCGGTCGAAAGCAATAAAATAGTGATACAGGGCAAGACCTTATCAACGGCTATACTGGACACGCAGAGCAGAACCAATTCACAAGGAACAACGTAAAGCAAGTCGACTTTAGTTGCAGTGGCGACCCTACGTGTACAGTATGATAACGCAAGCGTTGATTGCCGGCATGTTTCCGAATTAGCCCGACAATGTGACTCCAAACGGCCACAGAATGTCAGCAAGTAAGAAGGAATCTATAGTGATTTGCCCTGTAGCACTCCAACAAATTCATCCATACGCTACATGCACATTTCAAGTCGGAAATAATAGTAATGGGTATACCGATGATATCAGCCAATATCTCACGGTATGCACAAACTCCACAAAATGTATACCGCTAGGAAAAGATGCGCATACAAGAACTGATCATAGTGCGAGTCAGGTATCAATGTCGAACCAGTAGCCGGGTCTGACACTCATATACATCATGCACATCGTCTCGCCCAGTAACGAGTAGAGGTCCGCTTGGGTTAGCAATCAAGGAAGCATAAGATGCTTTGGCAACAGTTGCGTCGTGCGCGGCCAGATAGAGCATAATTACATGATTCTAGTGATACTGAGAAACCTAACCCACGGAGGTACGGATCAAGGCATGGACGTCGAGAATGCGCTCATGCACGTGGATCCCAACTGCTGCGACGAGGCAGAAGCACCGGTACAGTATAACATGCGTACATACATACAGCAAAAATGACCAACCGAGACAGTCAAAAAACTACCTGGTTGCAATAGAGCCTCCGGGCCTGGAAGTTTAGACACATCCAAGTCACCCGTCCCACAAGCATCTGTCGCAGCAATCTTCGAGCTGGCCAACTCCGCCTCGTACGTCTGAATGGCATCCGGTGGGGCCTGTCGGACCGGATCGGAGGAAAAAAGGCGAATCACACTGTCGCTGGAGTGAGAGGGGCAAGGTGAAACAAATTTATCAGGTTAGTGTGCAAGAAGGAAACACATGTTTACTGTGTGAAACTATCGGAAACGAACTCGTTGGCCTGAAACACTCACAGTACTGTAGCCAGAGCACGCCCACGCTCGCCACAGACTGTGTTTTGTGACCATCGGCGAGCACATAGAATCACAAAAGTTAAACAATCTCACGAAGAGATTGGAAGCGTGCTGTTTGTTGCCTATGACTTCCCATAATCCGTCCGCGCAATCAGATCCCGATGGCAAAACTGAAGCAAGCTGGCATAGACCACAGCTTCCGAAGCAAGTGCGGAGTCGAGTTTCTATGACAGAACATCATAACAAAAAATCAGCTAGCGAGAGTAAAAGTGCTTTTCGTCTTTCGGGAAGAGACGCGTGCCTACACTGAGTATCTGAGTCAGGAAAGCGTGAATAACCCAACCGGCCACCTGCACCGCCATCACTCGCTGGAACTCCAGATTGGAAGCTGTCCCACATCACAGCAAATATTTCCATTATTACCCAGCCAGGTTGCAGGCTGTACATCAGTTTGGAGACTCATCTGGTGTTGGTGAACCTGTGGATACTCTAACCAACAAAACAACATGGAAAGCTTTGAAGTAGCAACTGAGTTGCATTCCGACCGTTGGCAAGAATATAACCCGTCACTTGAAAACTTCCAAATCACAGTTTCCGGTAACGCATGGGACTTAGAACGACCTTTCCATCTATCCATGTCGCTGAAAATGCCGCTATGGATAACTAACTGCAGCAACTACAGGCAGAGGGACTGACATTTTATGCGTCTACCGAAATGCAAACTGTTGTGCAACTCTGCTTATTCTGAGCTGCAGTAAAAACCCAGGAGTTGCTGACATCACAAACTAGCTGGCCGTTTTTGAAAGCCATTGAAGTGTTCGACCTCGAATAGCTCATCATCTATACCATTTTCCATTGAAGTTGGACATTCGGGCAAAACATTTACGCCTGGGGGTCAACGGGGTTGCTCCTCCGGGGCAATCAAGTTGAGTCTTCGCTATGCGGAATAGAACCACTCACTGGCATGGTAGGGGCTGTTTCATTGGCCAAGCGCCTTCAGCAAATAGGACCTCAGACACTTGGCCAATGAAACAGCCCCTACCATGCCAGTGAGTGGTTCTATTCCGCATAGCGAAGACTCAACTTGATTGCCCCGGAGGAGCAACCCAGTCGACCCCCAGGCGTAAATGTTTTGCCCGAATGTCCAACTTCAATGGAAAATGGTAAAGTCTGTGATCCATGCAGCTATACAGACTTTCCAGGCCTGAGTGGCTCCCAAGCTCTGGCGGCTGAATGGCTAATATAACGAAATATGATGGAAAACTGCATGGGAAAAGTAGAGACACAATGGTCCTCTGGTGGCTGGATGAAGAAAAGAACTCCACAAATGGTAGACATTGCCAATCGTTACCTATGAACTCGGTAAACGCTGAACGGAGCATCAGTGCCTTCAAAAAAGGTTGTGTCTGTTAAGTGTCCCAACCTTTCAGATAGTAGCATGAAGCTCCTTGTTGGGCATTATTTTAATTTCTCTGTTTCGCATCATGAATGACATATATTGGTCGGTGATGATGCATAGATTTCGGTATAGTTGTCTTCGAGGTGAAATCGCGGAACCTTATGCTAGAGCTGCAGAAATTTCGCGGAAGTTTCGAAAACTAGACTCTTTACTGATAAGATTCACAGCTCGTGGTGTGGATGTGGCTTTTGTCTACCAGCTGACTGATTGGTTTGTGGACATTTCCATGCAGAGTCAGGCGTAACCAGTAAAACTACCGTGCAATTAGTAAGTTGGATATTGAGATTTCATATCTGACACCTGCGCCATTTCCCAAACTGCGGCCTACCAACTATTTGCATACTCCGATTCAATGCCACTAAGGTTTCATTTCAAACCCAGCTGTTACAAGCGCTCGCCCCCACGTAGTAAATTCGTAAGCGGCCACACTGAATCGGCTTGTACTCTTCCCGGGAGTCTCACACGCATGCCGGCATTGATTTGTTATCGCCTCATGGGCACATCGGCCTTTGTCGTTTCCTTCATTCCACACTTGGCCCAAGACACACTACTTCTTGAAGCTACCGGTGAATCTAATGTATTGTATCCTCCCATGTGCTGTACAGCGAAGCAATTGGATAAGGTTATGTGACCTCATAAAAGAGCCGTAGGATTCCGATCGCGCACTCTGGGTTTTCGATCTTGCTGTACAGTGACAAGTGCGGTAATTTGTATTCCTTTGTGCCTCGTAAAGACATGGTTGTTTCCAAACTGAACGGGTATTGTTGAGATATGTCTCTATTGCATTTCGTTATGTACTTTGATAGTACCGCAACTATCTAGCAGCCTTGTTTTGGTTTGACCAAGGAGTATTACGAGTTGCTCCAACCCCAAGCGAACTTGCCGCCTACACTAGGCAGTGCAATTTCCAGAGCTCTGCGAATCAATTCCTAGAAAGCGCACTGGTAATGTTGCCCAGTCTAGCAACGAAACAACTGCAAATCAAACAGTCAGTTCGAAATAAGTTGCATCCTAGCTAATGTGACCTTACAATACTAGGGATGGGCCTTCTCAAAACAACTGGTTAAGAATATGTCGGCGAAAAACAGAAAATAGAAATGAAAATGGCGAGGTCCCTCAGATAAGCGAGAATCAATAATGATATGATCTGATAGAGGAATCTCGAAGGAAAATATGACACTGAGTCTCATCGCCAGTGGCCAGACCCATAAAACTGCGAGATAAGTGGAGCTCTGCTTTGGGGTTCCCGGAGCGGAAGTGAGACTGCAGCGTCCCTTAGACGGTCTGCTAGGATCAAACCAAAGACAGTTTCAAAGGTGCAAAAAGATGCGTTTTTTTCATCGTTGCGTGATCAGTCTCCGCGAAGTTCGGCAAGTTGCATGTCATTGGAAAAGGTCTGCCTGGTTTGTGGTGCGTGGCAAGAAACCACTGAGCTACGAATGTCCTCTCATCATCAGAGTTGCATTCATATTCCGCAACAGTCGTAAACTGTTGTCCCTGTGATTGAGTGCTGGAAGAAAAAAGCTATCAAATCCCAACTTTGAATCAGAAGTATGTTGAAACAAAACTTGTCTGTCCACTAACCACTGAACAATGTGGTAAGAATGGATCTAAAAGCATTCGGACAGCAACACGCAGTATGCGTCAATGGATTACAATAAAACGCAGTATGTTAATCGCCTATTTCACCGCAGTGGATAAGCCACCAGACACGGTAGAAGGCTGAACAAAGGGAGGGAAAAGAGAAAAAAGGATTTCTAAAGATTGATGAAGAATAGCGTGTGTTAAATGACAAGCACTGCTTTTCTGAGGGCTTGTAAGAGACAAGTGGATAAATTCTATCAAAACAGATGACGCAACGTCTGTCACTTACCTTCCGCCTACAACAATATCTCCCAGCACTGTGAGGTCCACGCACCAGGCGGACTGGCATGGCAGCGGAATCGACTGTAAGGAAGAGAACTGTCTTCTAGGGATCCATTCCTCAGATGCAGGCATGGGCCAGACCCGGACGCTTCGGTCTTCGCCAGATGAGACGAAGATGGGCAAACTGGGACGCGTGGCAACAGCATACACGTAGTGTGCGTGCCCGTAGAACTCCCCAATGCATTGTCCAGTGGAAATGTCCCATGCGAGAATGCTGGCATCGTTGCTGGAGGACAGCACTCTGTGTGAGTCTACACGAGCAATACAACGGACACAATCACTGTGTCCTTTGAGTGTGCTGACCAATGATGCAGAGAGCGATTTCTGTTCGCTACTTTGCTTATGGTGTACGTCGCGGAGAAGCCATACATAGATACAATGGTCCGCCGAACCCGCTAGAATGACAATATCAGTCTCGGAGGCATCCGGGATGCAGGAATACGGCATTAACAGAACAGTCCAAACAGCGGCCTGATGACCTATAAAGAAAAAGTGGTGACCGAGCAAGAGAGAAAATTTGTGGAGTTATTTGATGAGCATGCAAGAGCACTAAGGAATCGCAGACAAACGGAACTTCCCGAAGGCTGATGAAAGACAACGGACTCAAACAGCCTATTACATATCAGCAAATGCACGATAAAGAACACCGATGGAAATGGCGAAAAAATCGATGGCATTTGCAGTCCCACACCTAACTAGATAACGGGTAAATTAGAAAGCAAAAGAAACGTCGCTAAGTAATTCCAAGGAATAGGCTAGCTAATCCGCAGGTTCAGCTAGTCGTCGTCGTCGTCGTCGGGGTGTTATGGCGTCTGCCTTGTAACATAAAGGCGACTGGTTCGGATCTGCGTATGTGTAGACGTCCTCACAAGATTCGCAGCCCTGCGTGTAGTCGCGTGGCAGTGAAGCGTTGGTGTGGTGCATGGGCTAAACTATCGACTTCCATTGGCAAACACATTAGCCAGTGTTCCATCCATGGACATCGAACACCACCGCAGCTTGTTGCAGCATGCAATGTTAACTTCGAGCCAATCAGTCTGGAGAATAACTCACCACTATTCAAAGGGTTAGATTTTTGCACGCACACTAGCATTGTTCGATCGCCGATGGATTCTCGCAGTAAAGTCGGATCGAAATGAACTTCGTCACACTGTCAGCCAGCAACACGTGGAACACCTTCACGGTGATCCGAGATTTAATAATCCCGACGCGCCGACGACTTCAGTGGAAACAGCCGCAAGCCGTTTCAGTCCACGGGCTCGTAGCCTTAAGGACCAAAAGCCCGCTTTGTAATCTGAGGGCACGGGTTTGACCTTGTATAGGGAATCGGACGACCATCTCAGTATCCTTAGCCCACGTGAGATCGGTGGTAGTTGCGTGACAGCGAAGCGCCGGTACCGCGTACCGGCGCACTGCTGCTGATGCCTGGTACTACAGAGGTCAAGTACGAGGCGGCCGGGTTACAAATCAATAACTTGCACAGATGGATGGACAGATGCACTGAGCGATTCCAGTCTCAGTTCAGTTTGTCCTCTCGGTCTATCTCGGCACCTAGCAGACGATATCGCATGCCATAAGTAGTGCCATCAGAGCCACTAACTGAAGTAGATGTTTGTCTTGAGATTCGACAATTATAACGCTTTAAGGTTGCCGACCCAGACGTAAATCCATCAGAACTGTTCAAGTACGATGGCACAACAGTTGTCAATCAGCTAACATCTCTGTTCCTGAAGATCTGGCAAGAAGAAAGGTTACACTTTTCTTCGGGAGTCAGTATTGTCCCGGTGTTCATACGCCGATCACACAGGAATTAAGATGATATCGGTTGCCTACAAGCTACCAGCATCCATCATACTCCACTGGCTATCACCAACTCGCAACAAACCTAATATTGTTGATCACTGCGACTCTTCAGACTGAGACTGTGAGACTGTAGTTAAAATTAAGTAGAAAAGTTTCTGTACAAGTTTATCAAATTATGAAACATCAACAGGACTTAATTGCGAATCGTCAGCGGTAGTGTTTGATCAGCCCCTTGTTTGTCCTTGTTTGGTTAAGAATTAGTATTGGCGTCATTATTTCCGGATATACGATGGATTTTATTGCATTGTATGTGCACCATTTCACAGAAGCACAGTTCCGAAATAATCGTCGATACGAGTTTTAAAGCACTTCACAGAATCGGCCTCTATTAGTCGTTCTAGTAGTGTATTTCATGTTTACGATTCTTCGTTCTATATGAAGCTGATGTGATACCTTGTTCATGTATGGGACCCTGAGTTTGTAACGGTGTCCTCGGATGTTACAGGGTTCCCGCAGGGAAAATATTGGCCGCAGTATGGTAAGTGATTCGATTGGTCATAATAGGTAGGACAGTGTGTTGAGTTTGAGCATTTCACGTTTTTCATACGGAAGCCTTCCTAGACTGGGAATCATTCTAGTTGCGATGGGCTGTATTCGCTCCAGCTTTTCAGTATTCCACTGGGTTATGGGACAGTAAGCTGGGGTCCGGTACCCAAGGATTGGTCTGATGAGCGAGATGAATAGGCAAGGGACGGTTTCTCCGGATCACGTGGAGAAACTGCGTCGTAAGGCCCAGAGCATACGAAGGCCCGCACGGTACAATTTCTCTGCATTTTCTAGTGACCTCATATCATGTCGCGAGAGCACCCCTAAGTCTCTAACAGATGTGTTATGGTGGAGCAACCGGCCGTCCAAGGTGCATGATCGCGTGGCTGGTCATCCGGTGATACTGAAGAACTCCGACTCGCTTAAGTTAGGAGGGAGCTGCATTTGAGTGGATCACGTTGACAGTCGATCTAAATCATGCTGGAGGCGAGCGCAGCCGGCCTGGTTATCAATGATCTTCCAGAGTTCTAAATCATCTGCAAACAGGGCAAATGGTGACTGCAGCGGCTGCGGGAGATCGTTGATGTGAATAAGAAATAAGACTGACCCAAGTGCATTTCCTTGAGGCGCGCCACTGGCCGATGGGAACCAGCCTGTCAGGTAAACATTGACCTGTACTCCAAACTTTTTTCCCACGATAAACTCGTGTAACCACTGAAGTAACGTGTCACCGATTCCGTAGGTCCTCAGTTTACGAAGGAGTACCTCGTGGTTCACTGTCAAACGCCTTACTAAAGTCGATGTACACTGCGTCAACATCCCTCCCTTCGTTAAGAGCTCGCACCCACTGGTGATTTGCGTACATCAAGTTGGTGATGCAGGATCGCCCTTTCGTAAAGCTATGTTGCGCTGGGGTCAATGCGTCCATCGACTCGAAGAACGACAGTAGACAGTTTCACAAGCTTCCCGAGAACTTTGGATAATATTGAGGGCAAACAGATCGGATCACGACGCTTAGGAAGCGGTCTCACTATCGAGCATTTTCAGTCGTTGGGGAAAGATTTTTCAGAGAGCGATTTAATGAATAAGTTCGTCACAGCTGGTGAGATGATATTCGATAGGAACTTGAGTATGAGTGGATGAAGTCCGTCTGGTCCGGAAGGCTTTGCACCATCGAAGTTGACGAGTAGCTGATACACCTCGACTGCATCACACTGTAGGCTTTCGAGCAAGATTGGCGCAACCTGTACCGGTACTGGAACAGCCGCCTGTTTACTGAAAAATAAGGTGAGGAAGCGCGAAGCCAAGACGTCTGCGCGCTCCGCGCTTGAAGTAAGCGTCTGTCCGTTCACGCTCTCTAAGACAGGTAGGCTGCCCTCGTGTTTTAGTTGACGTTTCAAGTAGGCAAATATTCTTTTGGATGCAGTTGTGGCCGAGGATTCTAGCTCCTCTTCGAACTACCGGCGTTTCTTGACTTTTGCGGCGTTATCTAAGTTACGCTGTTTCTTGCACACCGTATAATCTTCATCACAGCCCGAAATGATGTAACTATCCTAAAGTTTGCGACGTTGTCGCGCTAATTGTCTATATTCCCTATCAAACCAATGCGGTTTGACAGGTCTGGCTTTTGAATACTTCAGGGGAACGAACCGAGTACACAGCGAATTAAGCTTCCCGTTCATTAATGACCAACAGACCTCAAACGACGCATGCTGTGGTAGTGTCCAATCAGTCTGAGTTGCGGCTTGGACGAGCTCGTTGAAGTCCGTCTTCCAATAGTTGAATGTTGGCTTCCGTTGATTGTAGTACGGTAATGGCAGTTCTATGCTTGCCACAATGGAGCAGTGATCACTGTTTGCCAGAGGTTCGATAACCTTGATTCCTTTCACCTTCTGCTCGCAGCTCGTAAACATTAGGTCCAGACAATATGTCGAGTGCAGAGTTGTGCGAGTCGGTTGGATGACGTCAGGTTGCCCCGATTTCAATAGTTATTTTAGCGAATTGAGCCACAACGTTGCCATGATCGGGGAGAAGCCGAGCGTCTGGCCAGAATGTCTTGGGTAAATTTAGATCCTCCTTCAGTAAGAACTGAGAGTGGCTCATACGTTTTTGCATATGTGAAAGCCAATCGCAACAACGGCTTATTGGATTACGGTAGATAACACCCATTATTAGTTCTGCGCGCCTGAGGCGGATTGTGCACCACAGTTGCTCACATAAACTATCCTCGTTCCGATAGGTGCTGATAAGTTTGCCAGATAATGACGATTTGGTGTACAAAAGAACACCACTGTGAGCCATTGATTTTCGATTGCATCGGAAACAAGAGTATCCTGAAAACGAGACTTCTTGAGGTATGACATCGGAGTTCAGCCAAGTCACACAACTCCTAAAACCTCCAACCGCTCCGAGACAGCGAAGCGACACAGTTCGTCACATTTGTACATTAGGCTGCACACGTTGGCGAATGACACACGGAGGTCCTGGGAGGCACCGCGGGACGTGCCTGAAGACTGAGCAACCGATGGATACGGGTTCGTATACCCTTCTTGAGCACCCTAAATTTTGCAATTTGTAAGTCAGTCTCACCTTTTGTACGGCGTTTGAGCTCAATGCCCGCAGTCTTCAAACGATCCCTGTCTTCGGGTTCCAAGTCTTGGAGGATGTGAAGCTTGATGCCTTTCAGCCTTGACAGACGAGATAGTATGAGCTGCAGCATGTTGTGATTTGCATAGGTGATCCTCAGAGGTCAACATGACTGGTTAGTTTTCTGGCCAAGTCGGACTACTTGTTTGATCGTCACACTGTCTTCACCCACATTTAAGAGTTTATCGATGAGCCCCTGAGAAACTCAACATCGTGATCATAACGTATCTGAGAGTTATCATCTTTTGACTCTGGTACGTGGGAGACCATGAGATTATGATGCCTCAGCGAAATAGGTGCTAAACCTGTGGGAGCAGGACTAGAGACGTTTATCAGTTTGGGTAGTTGTTTGTCAGCAGGGAAGGCTTAAACTCGATTACGTGGCCCCTTGCGCTTTTGAGTGGTCCATGGATCCTTGGTGATCAGATGTTCACAGACAGGCTCTGAGAAATCCACGGACCGATCAGTGAAGAGGCACTTTAAA